TTTCCGGTTTCTCGTAAGGCGCATGTACGGCTTCTATAAACGATTTCATTTTGAAGATCACTCCTTTTTATGAAACAAAGCTCACACAAACCCACAGGAGGTAGACTAAAACCCGTCACTGCTGGCCCATGCGCACCTTCAGACCGACCAGGAAGCCAGCTAATGTGTCTCCTCCTAACCCGTCTTGCGTTCGTTCACAGGAGCTGGTGATATGTCCGCTCCCCGGGAGCCCTGGTGGCACCGTGGTTATGTGTTAGGCTGCTAAGCAAAAGGTCAGCAGTTCGAAACCACCAGTTGTTCTGTGGGAGAAGGACCGAGCTTTCTATTCCTGTAAAGAGTGAGTCTCGGAAATGCACAAAGGCATCCGCTCGGCAGCAGGGAGTTTGGGTGGTGGCACTGTCGGGTAAGCCCTGGACTGTCAACCCAAAGGTCAGAGGTTCAAACACCAGCTGTTTTAAGGGGGAAGCATGAGGCCGTGGGCTCCTGAAAAGTGTACAGCTTCAGAAATCCCATATAGAGTCGGAATGAATTGTCCCGGGCTGATGGGAGTGGGTTTCGGGGTGAATATCTATAATATATACATGCCTACATATATACACTTTTTAAATTCTTTATTTCATTCCAGCCCATATTTTTTTGTCTGCTGGTATGCCAGTACCATACTGTTCTCCTTACTGTAGCTTTGAAGTCTGTTTGGTATCTCAGAAGGCAACATCCGCTGTTATTCAAAAAACGTTTGTGGTTATCATTACAGATCTACTCTTCAGACACACACTCCTATCCAAAGTTCATTCACTACGAGGTGAGCATAAGAGTCACAGGACCCGTTTTCTGTCCCCCAACAGAAAGAACAGAGCTACCCTTCCCCATTACCTTATTAAGCTGCAGACCAATGCCGGCAGCCATTTTCCCTCCATAGGACTCTGAGAAAATGTAGAAGGGAATTGTCTAGGAAGAGAAGTAAGAGACAAAGAGGTAAGATTCCCGGGGTGCCGTTCAGTTCGCCCACCTCCGTTTCAAATCTCGATTGCGTGTCTCGGCCAGAAGGAGCGGTACGCTCTTGTCTCTTCGCCGCACCGCCCATCGGGTAAGAACACGGACGGACTGCTGGGATGTGCTTTCCAGCCAGAAGCCAACTGTCGACATAAAAGCCCACAGCCCCTGGAATCGGATGGCCTAAGTTTAGGTGGATTCTGAGGGACGATGTCTGGGTGGCTGCTCCTCGTCCCCCCCTCCGCTGCTCCCAGTCCGTGTTTACCTGGAACTCCGTGTGGCAATCGAAGAATGTTTTCAGCAGAACCATCATGTCTGAGGCCACCATGTCAAGGTCTCTGGTGTACGCGTCACTCTTGTTGACGTAACTGAACCCGGTGCCCACGGGGTTGTCCACAAACAGGAGGCTGGCCGCCTGGAGCTACCCCCCAAGAGCAAGAACAAAGGTGCAATTAGTCCACAGTGACCTTACATCGGTGCAGCAAAACCCCCACATGTGCAGGTAGCCATTGTGGCCACGCTCCTGCTGTGAAACGGGGTTTTCTCTGAATCTAAACGATGGGAACACGGGCTGGAAGGTGGAAAGGCTTTAGCTGGAGAGAGGGGAAGCACAGAGACTGCAGAGCCGAGAATTCAAGTGGCTTTGCACACCACAGCAGGGTACGAAAGGTCACAGGTCAGAGGCTGCGAAACCATCCCCTCTGGGTCTGCACGGGGACTCTCAGGGGTGAGCGCTCTCTCCGGGCCTCGTGGCCCCACACTGGTTCTTTCCAAGAAGTCCGCATGAGCCAGACTTCCTTGTGCACTATGAGAACAGAATTCATTGTAACGACTTTCCCAACGAAGCCAAGCATTTCAGAATGCTACACCTGGAAGCATCCTTCGTAAGACGACAGCCCAGCCACACCCTTGACTGACCTGGATATTCAACCCCAGGAAGAGCCGGGTCCTGGACCTGTCCAAGGTCACCAAGGTGGGTGGGTACTGGCAGCATCAAGACTAGGACCTGAGTTGTCTACCCTTGCTCCTCTTTGCACCAGCCATGCTGCCCCCTAGCTCTCGGCAGCTTGGAACAAGACAATGGGCATCCTACTGCAAGGGCCGTGATGATGTAGTTAGAACGGAGCGCAGGAGTCTCCCAGGCCAAGGGCACACCACGAGCAAGGGCCATGAGGCCAGGGTCGTCAAGTATATTTAAGAAAGACCAGGGCAGAGGAGAAATTCAAAGGCGTGAGAGAGGCCTTGACGAGGAGTCTACAAGCAGTTGTGATCATGGTGAGCTGGATGTGAGTGAAAGCCCAAGACAAGGCTGTTTCCCGCGCAGAAGCCCTAAAGTAGGGTACTCGTGTGTAAGTGGCAGGGACCAGGTTATGCCCAGGAGACAGATTTGATCTTTCGGGTAACTGGAAAGTGTGAAACAAGGGAGTGGTTTGCACTGGAGAAGTGGATTGGAGAAGGCACTCAGATAAACACAAAAATGCTGGCGGTGGTGATGGAGAAGAGGGTGTACTAAACCAAACCCACCCACACCACTGCCACTGGCGGAGTCCTCCTGGTAGCCTGCAGGAGACGCAGACCTGCCCGCGTGGGTTTCCGAGGCCGTAAACCTTTACAGGACAGAAAGGCCCATCTTTCTCCCTTGGAGCCGCTGGTAGGTTCTAAGTGCTGGCCTTGCAGGGAGCAGCCCAGCCTGTACCCCATTCTGCCACCATGACCTCGCAAAAGAATAAAACCATCGGGGTGTTAAGCATCACGTTACCATAGGACCCAGCAGTTCCACCCCTAGGTAGATACTCAAGGAAAACGCAAATACACGTCAGCACACAAACACGTGTACACAGAGGTGCACAGCAGGGTCATCCATCCTAACCGCCATGTGGAGGCAGCCCGAAGGCTCACCCATTGAGGGGTGCAGTCTGTCCATCCAGCGGAACCTCATTCGCCGACAAAACAGGATGGAGTGACAACATGGGTGAACCTTGAAAACACTGGGCGAAGTCAGTCCCAGAGCTGCAGCATTGGACGACGCCATCGATCGTGGGTGCAGGGCTGGGAGGGGAGAGGGGATGAGAGGATGACAGACAGCTAAGCCACCGAACACGGATGGCGTGGCAGTTGCACGACTCCGTGAACGTGCTGGAAGCCAGAGGACTCGACACCCTAGTGAATCACGCAGCAGGCCGGAGAGAGGGGAAAGGGTCGGAAGTTGTGGGCAGAAGGTGGGACACTAGTGACCCTTACAAGGGCACGAGTAGGCCCACGGTCTAGCACCTGGAGGAGGTTTCTGAAGGCAAGCGGAGAGAACAGACACAGGGCTGGGAAAGGCGAGAGGGGGTGGGGTGGGGGTCGTGAGTACTGGCAGCTTCGGGCCTCAAACAGCAGCCCAGGGGCAACTGTCTAAGGAATGCCAAGGAGTCTGCCCAGGGAAGATGGTGGCAGAGGGGAAGCAGGGCACCCTGACAGGCCTGGGACCCCACCCAGAGCTGGGAGGGCAGGGCAGGACAATCCCCACTGTACCCAGGTGGTATTTCGAGGCTTGAGATCACTGTCCAGGGGCCCAATTTCCTCAAAGTTTCCAAATCCAGTGCTGGAACCACCTGGACCTCCCTGTGGAAGAGAAAAGCAAAAATTAACCTACAGATGGTGGTAGTCAAGCTTGGCACTGCAATAGAACAGCAGCTGTGAACTGGGGGCCTCCAGGGCAAAGGCTCTATAGGGTCAGGTGGACAAGTGTACCAAGGGATGGGGGGCGGGGTGCTGGCCAGTGCTGTGGTGGATCTAGGATCTAGTCTGGAAAGACCTTGAGAAGACGCTCAGCTGAGGTCAGTGGACAGGCCTGGGCCCCCTGTGCACAGACGTGGACACAGATGGAAGCGAGTCGCTCAGGGAAACCGGGCTCACAGAAATGTGTGCAAGCAACTCTTTTATTTGGTTATTATTTTTTTTTTTTTGCAAGAAACTCTTTTAAACAGACCAGGCAGACTTGAGGAAACTAAACAAGTCGTTGTCCACGTGAACCACGACCTTGACGTTGACCTTGAGATCAGAGGAACTAGTGGGTGTCCTGCTGATCAGGAAGCAACAGCTGGGTCCTCAGAGAATGGGAGCACAATGTGGCACTTAAGGCAAAGTCTTAAAAAGCCCAGATTCTAGTTTTTAATATTTTCTGCTTTCTTCTTGATTGAAGTTTTTCTTTGCTATTGTTAGTTTAGTTTTCTTGTGGGGTTTGTTTGTTTGTTTGCTTGCTTTTCTGTCTATGAAATACAGGATAAAAAAATCCACAAAGGCAGTCACTGGATCAGTGTTTCTTGTGGGTGTAGCGAGGGAGGTTGGGGGAAATGGGGAGCTAATAATAAGTAGTACAAACAAAAAGAAAATTGATTGTAGCGATGATTGTACAACTTTTCTTACTATGAGTGACTTGTTGAACTATATGATAAAATTGGGAGGGAAAAGATAATAAAAATGTTATTTGAAAAAAAACAAAGTCCAGACTTCCTGGACTGCTGCAGACTGGAGGGCTCCCCCACATTTGTCCTCTGAAACCCTCCTGAACCAAAACCCTCCATGGGTGGTCTTATAGCAGACACGTCGGTTCGGTTCATGACATAAACCATACCCTCCACGAGTCACAGGCTGCCACACAAAACCAACTATATGACGGTCTTTTCTTTTTTGAAGTTCTCCTCAACATTTACTGAACAACAAGGGAGAGGGCGCGGGGGCAGAGAAACTGAATGGCTGGACAGGCACAACCAGAATGGAACTAATGAGGAAGTGGAACCGATGTCACCGAGCAAATGTGCAGACACTATCAAGACAGGAACTCAATGTACTGGGTGAACTTTCACCCAAACCAGTTGTTTCCAGAATATATTAAATTAACACACATGAAACCAGGCACATATCCTTGAACAAAGCCTTTTGCGTGGTAAACTTATTATGATCAGGGGGAGAACCAAATGAAAAGGGGGGAGCTGGGATCCTTGGGGATTTGGTCCTTGCCGGGGGAAGAACCATTTGCCCTTTCTGTTTTTGATAAGCCGTGATGGGACAGAAGATGATCCCCGGCCTCCCACCCCAAAATAGCAACGAGAAGCTGGTTGGAGGATGCGTCTGTTCTGTTTGAGAACATCTTCTTGTAAAAGCTATTTTGTGCCTAGAACTTTGGGATGGGGTACTGCTCTGACCCAATGCTCCATGTGCCTCTTAAGCACAAAAAAGTGTCAGTGAGCTATACTGTGTAAGTCACCTACAATAGTGCACCTAAAATAGCTCACGTTGCCACTCAGGGTCATGTGACCTGATTCTCAAAGATACCCAGAGGCTTCACTGCTGCTAAAATAATCTCCTTTTCATCAAAATTACACATTCCTTCCTTAATCCTCATCCTGTTTCTTCTCCCTTAGGCCTGTGGAGAAGCAGACCAGAGCAGGTCAAACAGCATCTCAGCCCACATGACCAGAGGTCGAAAACTGGACGCCTATGGGTCCCAGCAGCTGGCACTGCCATGAAGCCATGGAATCAAGCAGGAGCTGGGAAGCCCCCAGAGAGCGCTTGCCTGGTCTGAAGCTCTGGGGCTGGGGGATCAGTCCTGAGTGGCTAAGTGGCTTCCCCTTGGGTCAGGTCTGACTCAGGGTAGCCCCAGGTGTCAGAGTAGCATGGAAGGCTATAGAGGTTTTTTCCCCCCTCCCCCTAAATTTTATTTATTTTGTGATTGCTGTTGAGAATAAACACAGCAAAACATGCACCAATTCAACAGCTCCTATCTGATCGATTTAGCGTCTCTGGTTCCATTCTTTAACTTGGCTCAGCCGTCTCCACCTGCCTTTCTTATACATACATATCCATAAACTCCCTGCCCACTGAGTTTCCTATCTAGCCTTTCGAGTTACTGTTGCCCCTGTGAGCACACATGTTGCTGTTAGGTGTCAAGTGCAGTCAACGCGACTTGATGTGCCACAGAACAAAGGAGTGTCAGGCCTGCACCATCTCACCACGGCTGTCATGATTGCTCCCATCCTTGCAGCCACTCTGTCAATCCAGCTGCTTGAAGGTCTTCCTTTTTTCTGCTGATCGTCTCCTTTGCCAATAACGATGCTCTTTTCCAGGGCCTGGTCCCTCCTGTTCACACATTTGAAGTGTGTGAGACAAAGTCTCGCTTCTTAGGGAAGATTCTGGCTGTACTCCTTCTAAGACAGCTGTGTTTATCCTTCTAGTAGTCCATGGTAGAGTTGATATTCTTCTCTAATGCTGTGATTCAAGTGCATCCATCCCTCTCCGGTCTCCCCTAAATCACAGTCCAGCTTTCTTTCGCACGCCTATGAGGAGACTGAAAATAGCACGGCTCGGGCCAGGTTCACCTAAGTCCTCAGTGTGACATCTGCAGTCTTTCGCATGGTACCCAAGTCTTTTGGAGATTTGCCCAACGCCATACGCCATTTGATCTCTGAAATCCTTCACAATTTCCACCTTTTCTGCTCATCATATTGCTTACTGCACCAGCTGTGAGGATTTCGGTTCTCTTTCCATGGCGCTGCAATCCATGCTGAAGGCTGGAGTCTTTGAACTTCATCAGCAGGTGCTCATACCTTTAGCCTCACACAGGTGAGTGTGTTAACCTGGCTAGGTTTCTCCTGACTTGGGAGAAAAGGAGATTTCCTGAATTTTAAATGTTGGCCACTGATTCCATTAAACCACCTACTCTGCAGGCCATGTCTGCAGCGTGCAGTGTACAGCTCGTGAAATTCAGGGCTCTTACAGTTATGCTCCTGAGAGCAGAGGCAGCCCAGGCAGAGGGGAATGTAGGGAGATGGGGCTTCGGGGCGCTCCACCTCCTCCCTTGATACAGCACTTGTACTTAATCTGCTGTGACTCCATGTGTTAAGTTTTCACCTGGGGACAAACCATTCTGCTGATGAAGAAACAGTGTGAGCCACAGAGTACCCCAGATTATAGAGCCGAGGTCCAAAGGAGGGAAGAGTCCCCAACAGCTACAGGTGACTGAAAGCAGCCAGGCCTCGGGAACGGCAGCTACCTCTGGGCTTCCAATCTGTGCAGTCAGGCTGCTGGAGGCAGTGCTGGTCGCTGGTCCAGGTGCAGCATTCTCGTCTTCCACAGGTTTGATTACCTGGCCCATGCCCCTCATGCACAGCCGCCAGCCATGGAGTGGGGTCAGTGGAGGCTGGCGTGTTGCTGTGATGCTGAGCAGGTCTCCGCAGAGCGTCCAGATTAAAATGCACTAGGAAGAAAGGTCTGGCAGTCAGCTTCTGAAAAGCCAGCCAGTGAAAACCTTATGCGTTACATGATCCGATCCCATGTGTGACCGGAGTCACAGCGAGTTGGGGTCACCTAGATAGCAGATGACAGCAACCGCCACTGGGGCTGGGCCTCCCCTCCAGCCCATCGAGGAGCCACAGTGCTAATCCTGAGAGAGGGGCCCCTTTCTGCAACTGACTCCACTATGTAATACCTCACCAGCTGAGTCTGAATCAAAGAGCCCAAGAGGCAAAACCTGGGCATTGGGAGGTACCTTCCCTACTGCCATCTCGGGAGAAAGCTCTATGGCATAACATGGAGCTAAGCAAGCCTCGGGATGCCCTATGTACTGGCCAGCAGCCCGGAGCCACGGTAGGCTGTGTCCACATTTTGCAGAGATTGAAGCAAGATCATACTTCCCAACCCCTCCCTAAAGATGGGTCTGCCAGACAGGGGTGGGCCCCATCTGGGCAGATATTTCAGGAATACCAGGAAGGATGCTTTGCGGGCCCTCAATTCCACAAACAGAGATCAAGATTAAAACAGAAGCATACTCGGGCAGGGCCCCAAATTCACACTAAGATGAGAAAGGCTGGTAGCAAATCCTTTCTTTTCTTTTCTTGGGCAAATCCTCTCAAAAGATTGGTGTGTTAGTTACATAATTTCATTTCGACTTGAAGATATATAAAAGTTTAGGGGTGCGGTTCAACCTCTCAATTAGGTCACAGTCTGATGGTGCCTCCTGGTGGGCTTGGCCTTCTCATAAGGAGGATCCTGGGAACCTCCCGCTGCCTCTCTGCCCTCACCTTCCTGCCTGCTGGCGGACCCTGGTTGTGGTCAGAGCCCTGGAAATGTGTCTGCCACCATTGGATCCACAAGACTTTGCACCCACCGGCCTGTGATCTCCTTGCATTTTGTGTCATTTGCCTGTTGCTGCGTGAGATGAAGAGGGACTGATGAACTAGTTTCAGACTTTTGGACTTGAGTTGGATTGGGCTGGGATGTTTTCTCAATACATAACTACTTCTTGATATAAAGCTCTTTCTTTCTTTCTTTTTATGAAGCTCTTTCTTACACTTACAGAAGTGCCACTGGATTTGTTTCTCTAGTCAGCCCAGCCTCACACAATTGGCTTGGGGGTGGAACTATAAAATGGGGCAGTTACTTTGGAAAATAATCTATCATCCCTTCTCCCTTACCCCCCCCACCCCCAAAATCAAGACCTAAACTTAGGGACACTATCACAAAATCAAACCATGTACCCGGAGTCTATTCTGACTCAGTGATCCTACAGGGCAAGGGTTGCTCCACTCGAGAAAGATGAAAACATGTGTCCGCACAAAAACTGGTCTGTGCTCCCATCTCCGCAGATGGGCTGTGGGCTGCAGGAGACTGAGCCAAGCGCCCTTTCCTCGGCACTGAGGGGTGGGCCTGCAGCTTCTCCCCGCTGGACCGCCCTCAAGTCCCCCTCGACCGGGCCTTCTTCCCGCTGCGTCTCACACCCCAAGCTTAAGAATACTTACTTTCTCACCCCAAGTTCAAGACCAAATTTGCTACCTGCCCCCACCTCCCCACCCCTGTAGGTTTGCTATAACTGGGCCTGCCTCAGTCTCCCCTACCTCCATTAAACACAATGTATCCATCAGCCTTAGAAAGGAATGAAGCGCGGATACCCCCCCCACCAACTTGGAAATCCCTCGAAAGCACTGAGTGAAGTCATCCTTCCGTTCAGACGGAAGTCCTGGGGAGGGGCTTCTACAGAGACGCACGCACGCACTCAGGACACAAGCACTCAGGACACAAGGGGTTAACATAACCAGTGGTGAGGACAGCGTAGGCAGCTCTGAGTCAGAAGGTAAAGGGGATGAAAACGTCCTGAATGGGGCCTGCAGACTGTCGGCAGGGACGTGGCAAGATTCGAAGAAGCATCAAATTTCCAATGAGTGAATGATATGGTAAGGGCGTCTAGCTCAATTAAGACTGGTTTTTGTTTTGTTTTTCAAAGAGAAACGAAATAAATACTGAACACTTTTTGGGAAAAGCCAACAGATCGGTGTTCCCCAAGAGCAAGAAGTCAGCGTCCAGACAGGGTGAGGAGGAGGGAACAGGAAAGGACGGGCGGTCAGGGCCTGTTTGCTTCTGAACCAGTGCATGCACAGGGCAGAGCGCCATCGCACACTCGGCACCTCACTGCCATCGAGTTGACACGACTCATGGCGAGCCCATGGGACAAGGAGGACTGTCCCTGTGGGTTTCTGGAACTGTAACTCTCTACACGAGCACAAAGCCTCGCCTTTCTCCCCGGAGCTCCGGCAGTTTCCAACTGCTGACGTGTAGCCACTGTATCACCAGGTCTCATGATCAGTCAAGGTCCCTGCAGCTATCTGGATGTCATATTAAGAGACCTCATTAAATGTCTAGAACTCCCTACTCTTCAATTTAGCCTCCTTAGGCTGCAGCACTTCCTCTGCCCAACTCAGGTGCACGTGGTGCCCTTGTGCCTCAAATTAGAACCTTTTCATTCCATTCAGCGCTCACGTCCCCAGGCAGAGGACACGCCCAGGTGGCTGCTGGCCAATCAGCTCAGGTTTTCGAGGCTGAGCAACCTGTCCTTTTCAACCCTCTGCCAGCAGTGAGAGGTCCCAGGGTGGTTTGCTGGACTAATGCACCGGGATGGTCCCCAAAGGGCTGGCCACTTGAATCTACTCAGAGATGCCTCAGAAGAAAGGCCTGGCGGTCTTCTGAAAAATCAGCCCCTGAAAACCCTACAGAGCACAGCTCTCTTCGGACATGCTGGGAGGTCAGCCTGAGTCCAAAATCAACAGGCTACCAGGGAATAAGAGAAGTGGGAAATGAGGTGGTCTCGGGAGCCTGACCACAGCCCCGGCTCAGACAGCCACGCCACTGTTACCTGAAGCCACATGACCAGGGGCAGTTCCGAGAAATTCTTGCAGGGGTTGGTGGCATAATAGAGCCACCAGAACATGTGGGCGTCCTTTCGCACGGTCACATAGTCCCATACTTCCTTGCCCTCCTCTCTGGGCCAGCCGAGGGCAGCGCCTGAAACAGAAGCACAGTGAGATTTCCCTACAGAGAGCCTGAGCCCAGGAGAAGCACCCGTGAAGGAAGGGGAGGGAGGGGGCACTGTGCATTTCCCAGGCTTCCCCACCCCAGCAGGAGACCACCGAGGATGCCCGGTGGTGATGTCGGTTGGGGAGAGACTTGGGTGAGGAGAACCACAAGCCAAACCGAGCACAGGGGTGGGGCAGGAGCCTGGGATTCTCACTGTCATCGCCATGCACTTGGGCACTGCTTGGACTTTAATATTAAGTGTGCACTATCC